TCAACATGTCAGAAAAATATTTAACTAAAATATGTGTAATGTTATATAATATAGTTTTAATATAGCATTAATATGTATGTTTATACAACAACAAAAACAATTTTTTCTAAAATATAATATGCTTACTGCTAATTAAAATAACACTACCACTTGTTATACATATAGTAGAATATAATTGGATCTACCATTAATAGTGTAATTTGTCGAAATTAATATTTTTTTTCATAAACTCGTCCCAATAACATTTTTTTCGTGATAGTTTTTTCCTTTATACATACTTAAAGCTTCATTCAAACACGGCCAGAGCTTTACTTTTACTCGACAAACCGCATCACAAAATCATGTATTTTTCGGTGTTATTTTTGATGGTATAAACAAGTGATTTTTTTACACAAAATATTGGACACATATGTGTACTGCGATTGTTGCAGATTCGTTTGTTAAGTTTTTAAATTTTGGTTTGGTAAACAAAATTCGACTAGAACAGGAATAGATCTATTCTCGAACAAACTAAGAAATGCTTACATTAATACAATTCTAAATTACGTTTAGTGTCATTTTATTAAAATTCCGTACCAGGAGATCATGAGATTTCGCGAAAAGTACTTATATAATTAATATTTTAGACGGTATCGCGTAACAAACATCAAAATGTAATACCAGGAATTCATAAGGACTTGCGTATGCGATTATACTTTTAGGGGTTTTGAGAAGATTGATTCGTCGTGACCGTATTTTCATTGCTATGGTGCCTTATGCGCAATTGTCGATAGGCGGCTCAGCAAGAGCCGGGACGTAGCGTGACTACATTGTACGGATTAGCAGTGCATCTCAGCAGCCGCAAATAAGATCATGATGACATCTATCCTCAGAACTCAAAATTCACCGGTGTAAAAACTTTAAGCATATGAATTCAATGAAGTTGCAATGATTTGTCGTTTACGGGACAACATTTACGCCATGGTGGATGTTCGCGAGGACAAATCACGTCTTGGACAGCCTATACTACTAACTTATTTAAATTTTGTTAGATCAATAACTCGAGATGGTGTGTCTCACTAACATTTTTCAAGTGATCACCAAAATAATTCACCATAACTTACATAATGATACTTAACTATATAAATATAGATTTTTATGAATTACTGGTTTTGATATTATATTTTTTTCTGAAACTTTTTAAAACCAAATCCTCAGATAACTTATGATACTTTTGCGTTGCACAATTTATTTTTTTAGAATACTAGAATTATATTTAAAACTTTATTCTTTCAATAATATAACGAAACTAGACACTAAAATTAATTGAATTAAAACATATTTCATCGAATGGATTTTATTACTCATATAGTATTGGTTAAATTACTTTTTTTAAGTATTCCAAATATGCATATAATACTTTCAAAAAAAAGTATTCTGAATGAACTTTTGAATAATGTAAGAATACTATAAAAAATTTTCTTTATAATATAAAATGAGAAATAATTATAGATGACTATTGACAAAAAAATTCATTAATGAAATTAAATTCAGCTTTTTTTTTTTATATAATTGCTTGCGTTGAGAGAAAATATTAATAGATCAACTGTGATAAAAGTTGAATACTTAATAGTTTAATAGTCATTAGTTGGGTAGATCGAATTATTAAAATTATTAATTCAACATATTTTTTTGTGAAACACGACATCGTTATGTCAACACCATAAAAGTACCATACCACTAATAGTAAACACCATTTGGTTATTTATAAATCAAAAATTATACTCCAACCTAACAATGTATAAAAGTGCTTAAATTATTATTAAGACCTATTTCTTTAGTATTTATATGCAAATTACAAGTGATTAGCTATTTGGCGTATTTGATTCAGAATACAACCCAAGAATATTATTCGATAGTACTGCTAATGAGTTGTGTTATTTTGCATTACTAATATTTTAACAATAGACAAATTTTAGGAAACTAAACGTTAAAGTGATTTATGAAGTTTTCCAAAATTTTATGATATAATCAACACTTGTATAATACATAGTATGAAATGCAGTTATAACTAAATTATATTTTGGAAAAGTAAGGTTTTTCGAATCACTGTATTCACACATAGATTTTTAATCAAACACTAGGAATTTATTTTTATTTTATAATTAAGATATTTTTCTAAAATGTCTCTTAAATAAGGAAGTATGAGATCAGACAAAATAAATTATAATTTCAACAAATTTACTTGAAATAATTTATTTTATTGAAATAAAGTATAGATAAAATGTTTATAATTTTCATTAACAAACGTATTGTATATTTATTAAATAAATATGATAACAAAATAAACATATAGGAAAGATCGGATAATGGTGCCCACTTAATGAAAATGGCTATAAAATCTGTAATAATTGACATAAAGAATAGAATTAAATTTTAAAGTACAGACTAAATGACTTCCATTTATTTTTATACGCGATGAGAAATTAAAATACAAATAATATTCAATGACACGCGATTTCCTAAAAAATAATTTTGGACGAAATTATTCGCATAAAAGTGTAATATCGCACTCTATAACAATAAATATAATAAACACATGTATTTTAATTATTTGTTATAAACAATAAAATATGTTTGAAAACTTTTTATTTGCTACATTGTTTTTTTTTCAACTCTATTTTATTGTCAAATTAAAGGTTAGTGTATAAAATAACAAAAGCGATTATCTTACACAAAATTATTATTTTAAGAGAACACGATTAGCTAGCGTTAAAATAATAATATAGTATTGTATTTAATTATAAACATTGTTTAGCGTTTAGTTGAGAGTAAATTGATACTTATTTATATTTAATAAATTATATGTTTTTTCAAAATCTTTTACTATCTTTTTAAACTTGTCTTCAACAGAAGTATTGAAAACTCTTAAGTTTGTGTTTGATTCTTCTGATATTTGCTGTAATGTAGAAGGACCCAAAGGAAAACAGTACTTCGACTTAAACTCATATGAAATGTTTTGCATTTGTACACAAATATTGTCTATATTATTATAATTTTTTTCATTTGCTAATTTAATAATTGTTTTCATTTTCTGTATTGCTGCAAGTATTGTTGTGTCAACATTGTTTTTGCCGTAAATAATGGACAACAGGTATGCTAACGAATTTTCCATGGCCGTAGTCATTTTTTGGGGGATGCAAGTATAATATGAATTATATGAATGGTTATACACCTCGTCGATTTTATAAATGTTATGCATTAACGACCAAGAAAAAATCTTTTCCAAAATATTAGCATAATTACAGCTTAACAAATAATATAATTGACGCGCTTTTTCACTTACGTTGTTTTCAGTAACAATATCTGTTGCTGGGAAGAGTTCTTCAGAAGTTTGATTCGATCCTTCTTTCAGTATAACACCCATGTCATGGTTAATTTTTAGCCAATTTTCACTTTTTATCAATTCATTTAGCGTTTCGACTATGTTAGACGCTTCTGAGCTAACAGCGACAAAAAAGAGCAAGACTAAGAATTTCTCAAACATTTTGAAAAATTATAAAATGATTTAGTTTTAGTACCTGTTAAGTATTTTTATTATATATATATTTTAAATGCTGAATCATTAACGCAAAGTAAATAAATTATAAATATAAATAAATTTACTATAATCATTTAAATATTAAAAGCATTTTTTGTAGAAAAAAGACATCTAAGTAGTAAATATTAACATGTTTTCATCATAAAATGAGAATTAAAAAAAAAGATATATTGCCATTTTATTGTAAAAATAAAATAAAAGTAAACACATTACTTTATACCAAAATCATAAAATTTACAATAGTATGAATGAAATTTTATTTTATTGTAAATGTAAAAATTCAAGTGTATTATATAATTATATAAAACGTACTAACTTAAATATTACTAGAAATGAACCGCAGATTATAAAAATTTATGAAAACATTTTTCCAAGGGCAAATTTAAGTCTAAATCGAACTCAGTTTTTTTACTTGCTTTTGATTACAATGCGTTTGTTGTTACATTCATTATCATTTTGTTCGAAAAATTATTTTTGTATTCGACATAAAATAATATATCAAAAGATTTTATTGAAAAGTTTATTTTCTTAGTTAGGAAATTTTGTAATATTGTTTTTTTACTGTGTAATACACAAAAATAATTATCCTATAGTTCAAAGAGTAAAGTAAATAATTTAATTGTTCATAAAATTTCATTAAAAAGAAAAAGAGGTTTTAATGGTTATAATAATAAATAGATATTTACGTCATATAACACGACTGACTGTTTTTTCACATAAAAATAAATAAATGTGTCCCGACGATTGTTTAACTGTGTGAAATTGGCAGTCGAACTAAAAAAAATAACGTTATTTTCAATTAAGCAAATATTTAACAACTATGTGTTCTAGTGAAATATTAAATCACAGAAATTGTAAAATTATTAATATACAAATGATGAAACCTAACAGATTCACTTCGGAGCTATTTTTTACGGTAGTGATGTTAATCACTGACAGATATCATCTATACTTTTATTCGTAATATGCCACGACTCCAATTTACTAGGTTTTATTTTTAATTTGAATGAGCAAAAAAAAACTTTGTTGGGACTTTTGCAACCGGAAGACTCAATTAAAATATTTATTTCAGTGGAAATAATAAATGTGTTTAAAACGATTGAACAAACTAATACGGTTAAGAAATGTATTTTTTGCGTCTAGTGATTTCAAAAATTAGATATTTTCCAATATTGGATATAATTAAACTTTTCCATTATTGCGCACAGCTGGACCTTCACAGCGAAAGTCACACAGTATTTACACATTGCCAAAACTCACCACTGTGATCGCTTTTTTTTTAATTTACACTCTCTTTGGATTGTTATACACCTAAATGCCGACACCACCACACGGTGCTGCTACCTTCGCTGTCCACCTCCAGATCGCTGTACCGGAACCGGTCCGGTGGTGGCTGATGGCAACGGTGGTCGGTGCGCACTGTTCTGTTAGTCAGTCGTTCACCACGCACCCGGTCGGCATGCCCAACGTCGCGTAACCTGTCCATACGGTTATATTCATTAAACACACACACACCAAAACATTCAGTCCGGTCGCGCAGTCATCAGGTGCACACCTGCCGCCGCATCCTATTCAAACTCGTGTGTTTGTTATCCATTTTGGCGCCGAATTTTATTTTTTGGATTATTTTGCCATCGTTATACTTAACCCTATACCGGTGCCGACAAATTGCTCGAGGAACATAAATAAGAAGAACACGCCGGGACTTACAGGTAATACAATTGATATTGATAGCTTTTTTTTTTTTTTTATCACGTCGTTATAGTTTTTCCATACTTCTCTTCCACCTCTTCATCGTCCGTTTTATCAACTAGGTGTTGGACGGTCCCACGGTCACCTCTATTAATAACTACGCACTGAATTCGATATGATTAAATGAGACATTATTTAAAATTTAACCGCCGGTCGTTACAATACTATTTGTTGGTCGTACTTAAAAAATGTCTAGTTTTTTATTTTCGGGGTGACTTGAACGCTGGGGTGTGTGTATCGCATCATTGAACATATTTGTCGTTATCCTTACCGATTTTTGTGGTTTTCCTAGCGAATTAGCGACAGGTAATATTTGAACGTTTAAAACGGAACAAAAAAACTGGACTGCCAAACACCATTTCGCTTTCAATGATTTACCGGTTTTTAAAACTCAATGTCATTGCCGTCGAATTTTATTAATACTATTAGTATCTTAATGACCGAGACCGAAGGGCAATAGTTTTGCAGTCTGATGGAATTCGACCGTTATTAGCCGTCGAAACGAATCGACATTAGTTTTGGTGACATCTATGATTAACAAGGTGTGTTGTCGCTCCATAGTCTATTACGAGCAAATGTGATTTTTAGAATTCCATACGGCGGCCAGTCGGTATGTTAAACGGTCATTTTTTGTATTAATTGTACAACATTCTAGACTGTAATTTTTGTTACGGTCGTATTGCATAACTCGGTCGGCAGTTAATCACAAACGCGTCTACCTGTAGTAATTTTTATTGTCTTAAACGCCAGCGAAAATCGACAACGATGTCAAAAGTCAAGACCGTAGTGCAGCAATAGCTGTGTTAAAAAGACAGGGGGTGTCGTTAAAACATCCAAGGCCACGTTGAGCATTGCCCTCTCCGCCTACGACACGTTTGGTTTGCCTGTCGATTCGCCATTACTTTTATCATTATATTATACGTAAAATCATGTGCAGTCGAGAGTGGTTTTTTTTTTTTGGTCGACAGAAATAAAAATGCACGAACTCTTTTTAAAAAGGGTAGAATAATAGACATCGAATTTGGACCAAGTTCGCGGCGTGTCTATTGCATTGTTCGCGGTCTAGTTGCAACACACACTCAGTGCACACGTAGGTATTCACACGAAGGCGCTTGAGCTCTACAATGACACTATTAGTGTGTATGTCCAAGGGGCGATTGAAATTAAACGACAATTGTGTGTTGAAATTTTATGTACCCGAATCGAATCTTTAAGTGCCACGACTTGTCGCACTTCATAATGTTGAAAACTTAAAAAAATATTATATCTCTATATATAACGATTGTTATACGTTTGGCGTACGCCACTAATTGGACTTGAGTCAAGTTTAGTGTCGGCCGGTGCATTTTAAAAACTTGGACCTACAGATCGGACAAGATGAAAGTTTAATGAGATTCGTCTTCGTGTATGAGTGGGAAACTCGTTTGCGAATTAATTGTTGTACTTTAGTCCTTGGCGAATTCAAACCCAAACGTAGGCGAAATTAATAAACATGTTTTTGTTATTATTACCGCATTTATTACAACAAAATTATTAGAAAATGTTCTCATCGAGTTCAGGATGTGTCTATTATAGTTTTGAGTACGTAAAAGTGTATCCATTATTCTCATTCTGTTGAAGGCTACTCGCAAAAAACGTTTATTAATTTTGTGAATTAGATTATAAGTAATTAGTATTTTCTTAAAACAAAAACGGCACGTTAGAAAGTCCGAATACGCATGACAACATATATAATATTGTGCAGTATAATATAACATAAATCCTAATAAAAATTGCATAATATACATTTTTTTGTCTTCAACCATCTAAACGTGACAACTTCGGTAGTTCGTTTTGTTTAGATTTGCTGTTATGGCGTTGTGTCTTTTAAAGTAATGATAATAATAACAATTTAAAGTATAGACTTCAATTAAACACATGCCAAATGAGTATTATTTTTTTTAATAAACGTGTACCTATAAAATGTAATTAAGTTACTATTCGATCGAGGCAATTATTTTGTCTTTTAATAACGAATCATTTATTTTCACTTTATTTTTATTACGTTAAACAACACTTGTTTTTTTGTTCAAAATCACCTTAAGTATTAAATAGTAATATTTTTTAAATCAGTAAAATATGTTTTAGGATTAAATTGTGATTTTGTCTCACAATTTCAAATGAAAAATTCTTTATTTTCAATTTGTCTACTCATTATTTTAGACTAACTTGAAATTCAACTAAACTAAATTTATAATTTTAATTAAATATTTATAATAAATATAAAAATAGAACTGAAAACAACGAAATTATAAAAATGGTAATAATCATATTGTAGATTTGAAATAAAATCGATATATACAAATAGTTTTTTTTATATAATCAGAATTCTGTTTTACAAAAAATTGTTTCTATGTACTCATAAATTTTTTTCTCGAGTCAAAGATCACGGATATACGATAGCATGGCAAACAATTATATAATAGTATAGTCGAGTATTATTGTGCACTCGTGTACTACAGTAGAGGTCGGAGAAGGATTTTGTTTGTCCAAAGTTTTCACGGTCCCCATTTGGTTCCTCTGTTTCCCGTTGGCTCAATGATAATAATTGTTTTGTTATAAATACAACATCGGTACACTTCCTGTCACCCGCTGTCAAGCAAAAATCCTACAACGATTATCGAGATCATTAATTTTTTATTGATCATCTTTATTATTACCTGTATTGTCTCTTTAGAAGCGTGCACAACGTTTTTTTTTTTACCTTTACAGTCCTTCGACTTATAATAGATAATCATAATGTTATTAACTACAATCGTCTTGTGCGCCGATGGGTCACGTATTCCCATCCTCCGCCATTGACGACGACATCGATAATTCCTGTCATGCGTTACAGTGTTTTTTAATTTGTATAATGTTATGATACCGTGTATTAAGTACGGCGTACGTCAGCTATAAACGAATGAAAAAACATTCCTGTTGGTCGTCACTATGTGTCGTCCACTACACACACACACTGCAGGGAGACCGGTCGATAGAAAACCACCGACACTCCATCTTGATTTTATTTCTACTTTTATTTTGTGGTCGTCAATAAAATTAAAGACGACCCCTAGACTACATTGTTCCCAATAAAGTACAGCTGCAGCATCGTCCTTGCCTCTTGTTTTAATTTTTAACGTTTCATTACTGTGGTAGAATCACTCGGCCGTAGAAAATAACGCACTAGTAACACGTTCAAAGATGGTTTCTTTGATCTCTCAAAAGTACCTATATTCGGCTAAGTGGAACGGCCGCCCGGACAGCTGTTTTTTATGTATTTTCATCCGGAAGAAAGTGAAGGGAGTTTTTTCCGCGTCTAGCGATTCACACGCTCTTGTCATTTTTTCATCACGAGTGCTTGCGCCGGCATTGGACCCAACCACTGGAGACCACTCTTTGAGCCGATCGCATTTTGTCGTCGTTCGAGTCGTGTATCTAATGGCCCGTGAACATTACTTTTTATGTAATATTTTAAACATTTCCAAGACGTATTAACGATTAAGAACACAACAATGTATTTTGTGTACATAGTAGACTTGCATGGATCATTTGTCGCGCGAGTCTCCGGTTCGGTGTTGTGATGTAAAAATTTAACGCACTACTAGTGTGTCACAACGTTTTTATGTCGAGATAGTTACCACAATATTAATTGATTACGCATATTTAGAGGCGATAGTAAACGATTAACGGAACACTCACGTTTGGTACTCGACCGCGTATTTTGGTAACTCGTATAAATATTTATATTTGTTTGGGCAATCAATCGTGACAGTCGATATTTTTTAATTACGGCGATATGTGTACGTTTTACACGGCTCTGGAACGCTGAACAGTACGCGTGCGACTGTTGGTAGTCCACAGGCATTTCACATTTTCAACGATATTACATATCACTTTATTGTCAATCAGCCAGCGTACGGCATACTTACTCGCGTGAGGAGGACACGAGGTAAAAATGTCGGTCGGCAAGAATTCTAATCCATTGAAGTGACCTACTCGGCGGTAGATCTAAGTAGTTCTCGGCCACCGACGGTTGACATTTATACGTGTGTCGTCTGATACGACGAGTATCGTGTCGTTTGAGTTGTGACGGAATTACCCTATTCCTCCGAAGGGAATCGCGTATGATCTCGACCTTCACCGGAAATGATTGGAGATGCGGTTTTGACCCGGAGAAACGTTCCTTTTTACCTTCACGGTTTTTTCCGTTTGCTCGATTTGGAATAAACGGCATACGTGTTCTTTCGTGAAATGAAAAAAAATTTGAACATTCTGCCATATAGATTCTCTTGTATCGCCACCATATCTCTCGGCCGTACACGAAATGATACATATTTTTCAACCGAGAAAGTCTTCCTAATTACCATAGGAAAGTGCTTTATTCAACAAATACTTTTCATCGGGTAAAATTGTATTTGTAGCTGTAATTTATTAGCTGATAAGAATCAACGTTTGTCTAATAAAAAATAAATATGAATAAATTATTACGAATAATCATTACAATTATATATTGTTTGTTTGTACGGTGCGGTAATGTTTTAATTAGGTGAAATGAAGAACTTCACGGTAAGAAATCTCGAGGCATCGCCTCCAAGGAGGTCGCAGAAAACAGATTCGAGTTATTATTGTTCGAGAAAAAATATCTTATGAAAAAACTCCTCGTGATAATTTACCACCGATGACATAACCTGGGAATTGTTTTGTTATTATTCGGCTTGCTGGATAATGTAATGTTTTAAATACACTGAATATGAGGTTTTACCCCCCGACATTAGACATACCATTAAGTATACATATAATTATCGAGCACGCGATATGTTTTTAAAATATTCTCTTTGACTGCATTAGAATACTAAAATACCAAATGTGATTATTATGTTATCAGCGTTGCTTAAAAACAACAGGTAAAAGTTTGTGCCAATTGGTTATTATTATTTTA